GCCCGCCACTTGGAGAAAGTGAATGCTGAGTGCAGGCAGGGTGACAGGAAATCGCGATTCGGCATGACCGCTGAAGTTGGCTGCAACCAATCCTGCAAGACCTTGCCGGAGCAAGCGGTCAGACAACAACATACCAGCCCCCCGAACTTTGACTTTGTGAGGGCCTGGCGCAAACTGGTGAGCAGCTTGTACAGAACTGCATGGCACCGCAGGCTTGGACACTCAAGAGCTGGCAAAGCCTTAGTTTCTGGGTGGGGGCTGCATTAAAGGCCTGGTGAATCCGAACTGGCTCAAAAGGAAACTCCAATCGCGCTGAGGTTTTTCGACAACGGCCAGTGTAGATCCCAGTTGAGCAGTTTTCCCTCGTTTTGCTTTCAGTTTGCCTTGGAAGTCCAAGCCAGAAGATCCCGAGGGCCAGCTACGAGGCTTGTGTCTTGTTCTTGTGCCCGAGCGGAGGGCAGCTAGCCGCCAGCGCCGATCGCTATGGCGCCTGCGACCAAAGAGGAGCAGGAGGCGCTGCTGGCGACTGAGCGCAGCACCAGCTTCGCGGGCGCCAAGTGCGCCGGGTGCTGCTGCTGCAGCGCGGTGATCTTTGTGGTGCTGGTGGTCGTTTACCTGAAATGGCCACCAAGCGCTTTAGGCTTTAGCACGGGTTCTGATTCTTTTTTTCGCAAGTCGATGGTATGAGTTTTGGCCTCGGCGGTGTGGATGCTACCTGAGCTGTCTGTTTGTGATGGGGGTTGACGCCTTTGAAGTAATTCATAAGAATGCCTTCATTGTAAGACATGCGTGTGGATTCCCTTGGCAATGTGAAGCAGCCTCGTGGCAAGGTTCAAGGGAAATCCTGGCTCTCTTCTTTCAACAGAGGTGGTTTCAGGTTGGTTTGAAGAACACCTACAGGGAAGGAAAACATTTGCTGGGGGTTCCACCTAATTTGACACAGAACTCTTGGCCGAGGCAGCGGATTTGCATCGGCCCTTTGTTTCATGACGCTCGGCGAAGCAGTTTGTGTTTGTTTTCTCCTGGCTTGGCTGGCCAGGCGGTGGGCCCAGGTGGTCCCCCCAGTTCGCTCACTTGTCAAGGCAGACCAGTGCAAACAAGCCCATCATTCAGGTGTTGGGCCGCCGTGGAAAGATAACTCCTGGTTTAGGTCCAATGAACAAGGGGCTTTCATTTTTTTGTGCCCACTTCCTCAGGACTGCAGAAAGGATATGGCCTCCACCTCTGTCATCGGCCCCTGAAAAAAAGTGAAGAATGCATCATTAGTTAAAGGTATCACAAAAGCGGACATTTCCCACAACCCTCACTTTTTTCAACCCCCGACGGGTGGGGGATCGTCCCTATCAAAGGTGCCAAGAGTCGTACCCCTAAGGTTGTATGTCTGAAATTGAATGCAGGTTGGAGATGTTTGCTTTCAGACTGGCTAAATAGGTCGTAGAACATGGCGAAATCTCGAGTGCACTTGCCTGTCCGATCCTGGAGGAAAAAGGACAGGCATGGCGTTGTGGGCACGGCATGGAATTCGCCCCCTGACAAGGACCCCCAAGCACAGACACACCCCAAACACACTTGAAAAAACAACAACAACATAGACCATTGTTGAAGGTGTGTTTGTTTGTTTGTGTGTGTGTGTTGGGGGTGGGATTCGATGAGCTCAGAACATGTTTGCTATGTTACGGTTGGCAAAATATGACACACAAATCTGAACATGTTAGTTTTGGTCCAGCCAGGGGATGGGCTTGGGGTAACCCTAACCAAGGCTGAATTGCTGGCGCTTAATTGAGCCAAAAGAGAGACCACTCCGTAAGCTCCAAGCCACCAATCCCACTAAGTAAGAAGCTGCCAGTCAACGGTACCGACTCCGGGACCCAAAGAAAAGGAGGTGCCAGTTTTTCTCGATTTCGAGGATTCTGATCTCACATGTTTTCAACTTAATGCGTCACTTGGCACGTCACGGGCAATCCATGCGTCGCGCATGCCCCGAGGAAGAGGACGTGGACCTGCTGCGGCCGGAGGCCGCCCTGCGTGCGGAGGAGCTCCGAAGGCAGGCGGCCGAGGGCGGCTCGCTGCTGAGCGCCGAGGACCTGCCGTACGCGGCTCGGCAGCCGAAGCGGGAAAACCGTGGGGCGGTGGGTTTGGGCGTGGGGCAAAATGGGCGGCCCGTCTTTTGACATTTTTTTGAGCACACAAGCTCAGGAATTCGAGAGTATGAGCTTATCAAGGAAGGTCCTCTTGGGGCTTCTGATTCTTTGGCGCCAGGCTTGGCTTCCCTCACCCAGAACTGGTCAACTTAGAGGGCCGCTGGACAGGCTTTTAGTACTGGCCAGCCGGCAAACATGAAACCTGAGTTGCGAGGCCTTTGTTGGTTCCATGCGGCTATCAGGGCACGACTTTGGCAAAGGCATTGGGAGGTTTCTCAAAAGCAACTGCTCCCTACAATGGTAGTTTCCCTTTGCCCCCCTTTTAAATACCAAAATTGGTCCACCATTTTGAGAGCTCCCATTGGAGGTTGGAGGTGGCGTGTGGATTGGAGGTCGGCATCCCACTTTTGGGCCTTGCCCGAGGCCTTTGCTGTGGCACTGAACATGGGCGCAGGCAAGACCCCGGCTTCAGCTTGGACCTAAGCAATCCACTCAGATCCGCCAATGTTTCCCAAGGGACAGCTGGGGTTTGGGGCTGTCTCGGGACTAGAGTCCTGCAGTCCAGTCAGGTAGTTAGTCGGACTGCTTTTTGAGACTCAAGGTACTGCGAAGTGCTTGGAACTTAGTACTCAGCAAAAATGCTTCTCACTTGTTTTTTGTATTCATTATGGGGTCGCCCCATTGGCCCATGTCTTTGCACCAACCCTGCCCTTCTGAATGCAAGAGAAACCAGCACAAAGCAATGCAACACAACATTCAACCAATGCTAGCCAACACAGAATTAACGAGTAAACCAGCACTAAGGCACCAATCAATGCCAAATCAACACTAAACCAATAACTGAACAAGTCAGTAAAACAATGCTAAACCAATACTGAATAGTACGTATTTGGGGGGCCAAATCTGACCTCTGTATGAATCAGTCACCCACATTCCTGAGCGTTCTTTACCCAGAGCCGAGCAGTTGAACCCCCATGTCAAAGTACCTGAACAATGAATCTACCAATGCGTGTTAACACATTCTAGCACGGCTTAAAGAATTTTGCTTGACGCAGCACTGAATTTAATACTACACATGGGAGCCTTGGGCGTGTTGAATCTTGAGAATATGCAAGAACGATTAAGACAGTTTGAAGCGGTTCACGGCCCTAGTGCGTAGATTGAAGATTCAAGATGCAGAGTCCTGAGAATCTTCTATTTGCCATTGATCCCATGCTTAGCGATTTCAGGTGTGCGCACGTGCATGGACAGACATGCTCAAGTTTGTGCCTGGGAAAGGGTGTAGGTGACTCAAAAATACTGCACATACCAGCCTGAGCGTGAAGTGCAGATGGTTTTCTCATCCCGAACCCTCGGCCATTTCTAGACATCTTCAAAAACCTGCTTTTGCCACGGACAGTGCTTCTGGGTTCACTGGCTGTGGGTCAAAAGCAATGGTACCGTTTTGGGGCAGGTCACCACCCACTTAGTCCATTTTAGTGGGGATTGGGATGTTCACTGAAGGTATGGGAACTTGACCCATGGCCACATATGGCAGGAAGCCCTCAAGAATGTATATTTACTGTTCCTGTTATTTGTCTTATATACATATTTATCTATACATATGTATATATATATATATATGTATGTCTTATTCTATGTGTTCATAGGCAGATAGACAGATAGACAGACATACAGATAATTACACAGATATATTAGATAGATAGATAGATAGATAGATAGATAGATAGATAGATAGATAGATAGATAGATAGATAGATACATAGATAGATAGATAGATAGATAGATAGATAGATAGATAGATAGATAGATAGATAGATACGGTCTTGTGTTTGCAAATATTTATCCACTCATTCATCTATTCATTCACTTCACTTCACTTCGCTTCGCTTCATTTCATTTCATATCATATCATCTCATTTCATTTCAGTTCATTGCATTCCGTTCGTTCATATATTCGTCGTTCGTTCATTTATTTTTGGTGTTAGTTTTGTGTTTGCTTTATCAATTTGTTTATTGATTCATTCTTTCACTTATTTGGCCTAATCTATGACGTGCACCGATTTTCCAGGGCCCAGCTCCAACGCAGGCGGTCTCTACTTCGAGGACTTCAACTTCGTCCAGGGCTTCGAAGTGCCGGGCTGCTGGAATTCATTTGCTGCGTGGGTTTGGTCTCTCTTCGGGAAGGAGGAGACATGCGAATTGGCAGGGGGCCCCCCAATTCAGGGGTTTTTTGTCCAAGAAAGGCATCCCCACTAAAAAGGAACACCCCCCCCACCAAAATTAGTGGTGGGTCTGCTAAACAGGGATCAACATGGCATAGCCAACAGCACCAGTTTGTCGTACAGAGTCTTGCCAGCCTAAGCAGCGGCAGCCTGCTACCGCTTTGGCACATGATTATGAAGTGTGTCCCTTGAAGGGGGCTGGCATTTTGAGGCCCCTGCTCTCAAAATCACTCTTGGGATCCAAAAGGGTAGTTTCCATTTAACCCTTTGTTTGGAGGGTACTGTTCAGGATGTCATTGTCATGGATGCAGTGAGATTCTTGACGCTGTTGCCTTTTCGAGAAGTGGACAAACGCTTGCTGAAGCCCCCTGCATCCACTGCAAGGGAAGGCCACGGCCTGTCTTTCATTCCAGTCATGCCGGGGCCTGGGTAGAGTTAGGGTGCATTCTGCTTTTATCACTCATGGCCAGCAAGGCAAAAGAACGGAATGCATACTCCGCTGCAAATTAACATTCAAAATCGTGGTGGCCCGGCTTCCTTCGAGGGACCTTCTTTTGGGTTCCATATTGATTGAGTTGTAAAGGGGTATTTTGGAGGGGAGCTCCAAGCATTTGTTTGGTCGGAACCCTGTGAGGAGCCCAGGTGGAAGCCTCCGGTGGAAGGTGAGACGATGGGCGTCATGACGTACCAGGCGCGCTTCTTAATTTTTGCATGGGGATGTTTCTCGGGGGCGCGAAGGGTGAAGCGATATCGCATGTTGGATTTAATGCCGTTCTGTTTGGAGGGCCTTTCTTACCTGAAGAGGCGGAAGGGAGTTAAAGCGAAGGGCGACGTTAGGTTTCGGGTTGGGGGCATTGGCAAGCTTTTCCCGAGCCGCAATTTGGCTTTACATCCTTTCTGAACTCGGTAGCCACCCAGAAGTCTTGACCGAAAAGGGCAGGAGAACAGAAAGCGACAAGACCAACTCCCCCCTCAGTGGTTGATTGAAGCTCAAAAGAAGCCCGGCGGGAACTCAAAATGATGCTCCAGTCACCGGACTTCGTCTCAAGACGATCTCTCGTCTGATCTTCTTTCACCCTGGATCTTAGAATCTGAATTCATTAGAGGGGCATCCTCAAAATCACCCTCCAAAAACTGGTTTGCAATCACCGCTTCAGAGCCGCAGCAAGGGGAACCATTGCTACCTGTGCGTGGATCTGAGTGATCATGGGGCGCCAAAGGATCATTCGGGCCATTTCCCACGGCTCCCCTTGTTACGGCTCTGAATCAGCGCTGGGAGAAAGCCCAGGAATACGCGAAGGAGAACTTCGGCGAGGACACGCGTCCTTGAAATGGCGCGCAGTTTGGCTGACCGAAACTTTTTTTGACGGCCCTCCCCCCCCCGCCTCCGGCGAAAGGAGTGGTTTGGGGATATATTTTGTAGGAATACACATGTACCAGTAGAGCTCGGACAAGCCGGGGGTCGGAAGTTTCAACAGCGGGCAAGGTGCCTATATGGCAAGCTGCACTCAGACACACGCATTCTGCCATCGCGCCCGTCCCTTTGTTCGCTCTGTTTTTCCTTGCCGCGTGCAGATTTCAGCTGGGCCTCACACGTGTACGGTGTACTTGCAATTGTAGTTCCCCGGAAACTGATCACGTTCCTGGCAAACAACATGTCTGGTCAGCGAGTGCCGCGCAAGAGATTGAATCCAACCACACAGCTCCCGCGCGAACTGGTTCGAGCCTTGCCAACGGCTCCGCACCAACATGTTGGGTTGACGGGGGGGTTAGCCCGGCCTGAGGCGCAGGCGCAGAGGACGCGAAGTCCGGAGTATGCAAGCACACCGCAAATAACAGTGTTTTATGGGGTTCGTGGCCAGCTGGCGTCTTCCAAGTGCTGTCGAACCTGCGTACTCGTGTTTAGGAACTCGGATACGCAGCGTTGGCAGGCGTGGCACTTCTGACACGCGCTTTTGTGGTCTCCGGCTGTAGGTTGCTGCTCTTCGGGAGCCGCGAGAAGCCAAGAGGGCTCTGCGTGGTCTATGTTGTGTTGGGCAAAACCCCTGTAGGCGCAGCACATTCTCGAGCACAAGCTACTTTTTCAGCAGTGCACCCATAAAGTCAGCACCATCCATGCACTTGGGCTGCTGCGCCGGGCTGTTTGCGAGCGGAGCTTTAAGCTACAACCTTCACCTTCGCATACTTTCTTGCTTGCGCGCTGCGCGCGCTTCTCATGTTGGCGTTTGCGAGCTGCTGCGCGAACCGTCTAGTTCCAGAAACCCTGATGCAAACACTTCTTCCTGGCTTTGCGCAAGCTGCCAGAAGTCAGGGCAATAACCATCCCCCCAACCCCTCCCACCCTCAAGTCCGGGCCAACCCCCCGTTTACCCAACATGTCGCGCATGCCTTTTTTGAAGAGCCAGCAACTTGCAACCAACGAGAAGTGCGCAGACCCCACCCAGGATTGGTTAGGTTTTGGCATATTTTCTTGATTCAGAACTCCTACCAGGTCCTGTTTGACAAAGGCAATGCTTGAAAAGAATTGCACAGAGAAAAATCTGGTTGTGTGACAGAAAACCTGAGCAATACAAAATAACAACTAAATCAACTAATGATTATATACATCTCTGTGTGTACTGTGTATCTAGTATGTATCTATGTATTTGTTCGCTTTCTTAAGAAAGACTGAGAAGGAGCTCCCGGGTGACTTCCTGGACGAGTACTACACCGGGGGCCGCGTGCCAAGCTGGGAGGACAACCGGCGCCACAGGCCTGCGCCGCCCGCGGCCCATGTCGCCCATGTGTTGCTCCAAATCCCTTGTGTTCCCCGGTCGAACTAACTTTAAATCCAGTTTCGTTTACCCTCCAAGAATGGATCCCCATAAATTTCTTTCTAAAACCAGAGTCACTGGACTGGGGAACAGATCAGGAGAGACATTGCCCTTCCTTCTGAGAGGACAAATCTCAGAATCCTTTTGCGAACTGAAAGGGGGGAGGGGGTTGAGGAGAGAAACGCAAGCCAATCTACCCTCTGTTTTGAAGGGACCTCTGTTAAAACACACGTGGTTTCAAGCCTCTTTTTGTTGGCAGCCTTTTGTTGGTGAGTTTCAAGTCGTCACGGTGATCGCGACATGCATGATGCAAATGAATGAGTGATGTCACATGATGTCACCTCTCGTTGTACATCTTCTGTTTTTCCTGGGGCTCATTTGCCGGTTTATTCGCGAAACTTTGGTTGATTCTCTGAGCACCAGCGAGTTCTAACTAGTGTGTGTGTGTGTGTTAAAGAGTCCCAAATTGGCTGTTTTCCTTTTGGTTTCCCTTGAGCAAACCTGAAAAAGGGTACCGCCTCAAGACAAACGTGCCCAAACTGTTCACAGGTGGGGCGTACAGAAGCTCGCAGCCGTGGTGGCCGCGGGACGGGCAGTGGGCATCGAACCCATCAAGCAGGCCGCGGGAAATTCCGTCCTGAAGGTTTCAATATTACGTGCTTGGGGCCAATTTCGGTACGATTTCTCTTCGGGGTGATGCGTTTGGAGGCACATGTAGGGAACTCTGGTGGCCCAGCATGAGGCAAACTATAGCGGCCTCACGAAAGGTTCCTTACTTGGGGATTCTTGACTTGAGGTCTGTGAATTATGTTGCAAAATCTTCGGGAAACACAATTTCACCTTCCATTGAGTCATTGAGTGTGCAAAAGGCTAGATGCTGAAGAGGACAGACCCACTCGGAGGCCAGCCGAACGGAAACCTAAAAGCGGGCCTGGAGCGAAAAACCCTGTGTTAGGAGGGTAGTTCAAGCTTCCTGCAGATTTTCCAGCGCGTGTCTTGGACAAATGAACAAAACATCAGCCAGTGGACTGGCAAAAACGCTGCTGCAGTTGTTTGTCGCGTAAGATACGGCGAGATAGGGCCAGATCAGCAAAAGGTGCTGCCAGTCAAACAAATTGGATGTTCGGCGGCAACTGCTTCCCGTTTTTGGCGGCCCCGTTGATACTGTTGAACAAGCTTGACCCTTTTTGGCTTTGTGAGGTCCTCGTACCGCCCTAACATGTTTTGGGGCCACTATTCGTGATACCAAGGACGTGGGGCTGGGTATTAGCCTCGGTATCGCAAAGGGGGGCCTGCCTCAACAACCACGATGCCAAATCGGATCGGGGCCAAAGGACAACCAAGTAGGGTGAGGGGTGCTGGGAACAAGGAGGTTGCTAAAATAGACCTCTATGGGCGGCACTGAGGTGGCCGGATGCTGGGTTCTCAAAATTACTTTCGGGTTCTTTGTCCGTGTTAACGGCTTCCTTTTTCATTGGTTTTAGACATCACCTGCAGCAGTTGGATGAAAGTTGGCACAATTCCCACATGTTGATACATTTTGGCGTAGTCATCCCCCTTTCACACAGTGAAGTGTGCCATGCAGCTTCACCCTGGAGTGAAAAAAAAACCGCGACCCCAACCAACACCACACCGTCCCAGGTCTATCCCCTGGAGCCCCGCATAGCGCTGGACCACAAGGCCCTGGCGAAGATCGGCTCGGACGGGTTCCGCTACTTTGGGCCCATGGACATCAGGCGGCCTCGGGCCCCGTCGAAAAAGCGACCCGAAGGCTCCGGCATCCTTTGGCGTCCGATTTTGGTTGACAGTTGAGATGGACATAGGGGAAGGAAAGCCGCATGAAGATCCCAGAGGTGAGAAGACTAGGAATAGCTAGGGTTGGATTTTGGCCGGAGAAGAATAGTTCCCTGTTTCTACTGTAAGTGAGGCCCTGCCACCAGGAGCCTGAAAACAGGGTGGGATGGCCGGAACCGCAAAAAGGCGCTCCTTTGTTTTCGTGTTTGACCCCCCGTTTGAGAAGCATCGCCGAAACGCCAAACGCAATCACACCTTGGAAGTGTTCGAAAGATGACGTTTCAAACCCTGCAGAAAAGTATGGCCCTGTTCCGTTTGGGGGTTGGCAGGATCATTTTGGCTCACAGAAAACACGTTTGGGGTGGCTCAGGGTTGATAGATCTGAGAGGCTCCTCCTCACCTTCCCTCAAAGCCAGGCGCTCCAGTCCGCTTTGGTCCCCTGGCCCTCCGGCAAAGAAGAACGCGCTTTGCTTGCATGAGATCAAGTCTGATGAAAGTCAATCCGCATACAACCCTTGTGCCAAACGGTGATGGTGACCCTCGTTGTAGTGGTGTCCCACTGCCGGACCCCCAAAACTCCCCAACTACACCCCCCCGCGCAAACCTCCCCCAAACCTCCCCCAAACGTCCCTTAAACCTCCCTTAAACCTCCCCCAAACCTCCCCCAACCCCCTCCCCCCCAACCCCGTGGAGGTATGCGTCCAATGGATTCTACGGCGCCTCCCTGGTTGAGCGCCGGATGGAAGGCCAGCGGCCGCAAGACATGCTGGCCATGCTGATGACGGACTCCGTCGCCAGACCTGGGGGCATGTTTTGTGGTGATTCGCATGCTTCAACGGGTAGGGGGGTTCGGGGGTTGGTTTGGGGGAGGGGGGGTCTTTTTTTCTTGGGGTGGGGATTTGGGGTTGCGGTGGAGTAAAGGCGGGGACTCAACCAAAATGGGTTGGAGTTGAATTCGGCAGCTACTTTAGGCCCGGTGTACGGTTTTGTCAAAGCATTCTTTGGACCTTATGTTCATTTGGCCAAACTGGGCCACACGTTTCTTCTTTTGCAGCTGACCTTTTTAACCTGTGGTTTCCCACTCATTTTCCCTTTGATGCGGCGCTGAGTGGGTTTTTCGCGTGGCACCTGCCGCATTTTTTTCTGGACCTGGCCCAGGTCTTCGGCGCCCACCTGCAGCAGGATGCCTCCGGGCAATTCCAGGCGGGCTGGACGGTCTTTGTCGCGGGTGTGTGTGCTTGCACAAGGTGAAGGCCCCCGCCTCTAAAGCAAAAAGCACAACGACGCGCGTCACCAAGGTGAAGGATGCCCTTGCTAAAATGGGACGCCCCCTATGAAGCAACCAGGGTGAAGCGAAGATGACGTCCAGTACAAACAGGGCAGATATCAGGCCCATTCGGACGAAGTGATTGGCAAGCCTGAAGTCAGTCGAAAGCAGTCAGTTAGTGTGCTTCTTAGAACTAGGGCCCAGCACTGTTTTGCGCCTTTTCGAATTGACGTTCGAGCGCCGGGGGCCCATTTTCCTCTGAAGACCTGGGTGTCGGGCCTAAAAAACAACTGGGTGTGGGTCAAAATCAACCACCAGGGGACCGCAGGTTTTAATCCATGTCTCCATTTACCAGGGTTGCATTCTGGATACCTATTTTTGACCCACACCCAAATCCGCGCAGGTGGACCTCCGCGGCCTGGCCAAGTACGCGCCCATCCCGGGCTACGCGAAGCTGGGGGGGCGCGCTGCCTTCCGGCTGGAGGGCGGCCTGCTGCGAACGGTGGAGCTCGAGTACAACGACACCGTGTACGACAACTTCACGGACCCTGAGGAGAGGAGAAACGGATCCGGAGGAGACGAACCTACGAAGTGTCAGCGGAGCCTTCTGATGAAGAAATCAGATGTAGGGGTGGATGCCCCACGCTTTTCTCAGGGGTGTGATCTCAAGGGAAACAAGCTGGTGAATGCTCTCAAGCGAATAAACCATTTGGTTGCCTTGTGGTTTCTTTTTGGGAGTTTGGTCCCTGACAGCCTTGATTTTCTTTGGTCCATGCCTGAGTCATGGCCCCAAATGGGAGAGAGAAGAGTATGTGAGGCCGCTTTGTGCTCGAACTCCGGTTTCCCGGTTTCCTTCATGGGATACTTGGTCGTTCTTGCAGATGGGCGTTAGGTGGGCCAAACGACATTGTGACTTTGCGACTCTCACTCATTGCCTACGTGTGTCTTGCCCCCCACAACGACTCTTGCAAACCATACCCTGTGTCGCACGGAACCGGGTGGTTTTTGTGCCAGGCGCGTCCTGCGTTCGCATTCCCACGGGGAACGCACGTATCCCCTGAGGTGGATGCGGCCTACGCGCGGAACGTGCGCAAGGGCTGGCGTATGGCGGAGGCCGCGTTCATCGCCTCCCTGCTGTCCATGACAAACCTGGTGATGCATGTGAAGGACGAAATCAACGGGGCAGACACACCACACACACACACATACATGCATACGTACGTACATACACACATACATTCATACATACGTACATACATATATATATATATAATGTATATACATATATATGTACATATGTATATGTATATGTACATGTATATATATATATATGTATATGTATATGTACATGTACGTATGCATATAGGTATGATTGTACACGTAAACATGAAAACATGTACAAACCACACACACACACCATGGGGTTGTATGTATGCACGCGGGCATGTCAAACATTTATGTGAACACCTTTGCGTAGTGCATATGAAGGCATGCTGATTCATAAGCATTTGCATGCTACAAATGTTGTACTCACCGAAGGCGGCTGACGGAATGGGCACAAGAAGGCGTGTGCAAGCTTATCGAGCTGTTTAGCGCGATCAATACGCGGATTTTGCGGCTTTCAGTACGTATCGACTTGGTGCTGCAAAAGTGTTTTTCGCTTCACGGCACTTAGCGATGAATTTGCCAGGCAGGTTTCCCGACCATTTTGTCACAGCGCCAACTGGCCTGTAAGCTGTTGCCAAGCATTGGCACAGCTCTACTCTCACAACATTGAAGCCTGGCGTTCTTTTGAACCCATGCAGACCCACAGGTGCATCTCTACAGCTGGTGTTTTTGATTTCCAGCGGTTTAGGCATCAGACCCATCTCCCTCGGCCCGGGCGCGCGCGCGCGCCCGCCTGGGCGATGGCAGGACCTGCACCTGGAGATCGCCAGCGCCTTTCAGGCGGTCACCGTGGACGCCTTTGCCCAGAGGCCCAAGCACCCGGTGAGGCGGATCCCGGAGGGCGGATCCCGGCGGCCGTTTCGACGGGGGGGTTCGGCGGTTTATGGATGGAAGGGAGGGAGGGAGGGAGGGAGGAAGGGATGGACCGGGATGGATGCATTTGTTTCATGGCCTGACGTTGCGTAATCGTATCAACTTATTCTGGAAATGGAAAGGGGCCGCCCGAAAAGTTTTTTTTGGCGGTTCCAAGAGGAGCTTCCTCTAAGAATTTCATGGTTTTGGGGTTCCGTTTGGTACTGGATCGCCATGGGCGCCTCTTTTCTCGTTTCCTAGCCTTGATACTTCTTTGGGGGCATTTTGCTTGCCAGCGGTTCCCAAGACTCCCTGGGAGCCTCCCTCCATCCCCTCAGTCCAATTGTTGCGTGAGGAATCTGAGGCATGAAGCAGCCCATAGGCCAGGGTCCCTTGCCCCCCACCTGAATCAGGGTTGCCACTGAGCATAACCAGTTCTCCCTAGTTTGAAGTTCTACCCTGCCAGGGTCTTCAGAGCCACCCTAACCTTTAAATGCCAGGCGTTTGCTGGACGCCTTCATCAGCCGTAGCGTGCAGGCGCAGAAAACCGTCAAGTGGGTTCCAGCACCCTCCTGGAGCTAGCATCCCAAAAGCAAACCCCCGACGCCCCCTTTCCAGAACAGCTGTCTTCCAACAGTCTTCGCGCTCTACCACGCTTGTGGTTTGGAGATCAAGCTTGATGCAAAGAATGGGATGTGCATTTCCTAGCATTTCCAGTTGTACTCCCCGAGTTCATAGCCAAGGGCCCTTTCAAGCACTCGCGTGGAAGCGCGAGCTGGAAGCGCCACTTTTGACGTCCTCCAAGACCTCAAGTATCATGTCCAGATTCTGGCTGCCATACTCAGGGTACATGCCGCAGGGCTTTTTGGTGTGACCCCCAGGGCTTTCTCCGACCTTTTGAAAACAGTTTGTTTTCCATTGCACCTCTGAAGTGTTAGACCATTTGCTCAGGTTCGGAGCAACCCACCTGACCTTTCCCTCGAGCCACAGGCCACCAACGACAACATGCGGCTGCTCTTCGACTTCCATGCGGCGGACTTCTCGCTGGCGCCCTTGCCCTACCAGGCTGTTAAAGGGGCCAAAAGGGCGTGCGCAAGCGACGGGTGCGGCGGGCTGTATGGTTTTCCCGCCTGGAAGCCGTATGCCATCATAACATGGCCATTTGGTTGCGACAGAGCCCTTATTTCATTTGGCATCTTTTTCGGCACGGTCATCATTTTCTGGCTGCTGGCTGTATTTGGCCGTGCGCAGCCCATTTTTTCAAACATTTGACAAGCAGCCTCGCCAGTTTTGGTGGAGCGGCCCATATGGACCGAAGCAAGCGGCATGCACAATGCGGGTTTCCAGGCGGGCAAGTCCCATCCATTTGCTCTTTGGGTGCAATTGGTTGCCCTTCACCTTCCTCACCTAAAGGCAACAAAGGCTGACACTGACTACTTCTCAGGTTGGACCCAGGCCTGTGCCCATTCGGCTGAGTCAATTCGACAGGAGCAGCTGAAGCTCATCGACGACTTCATCAGGGCGGAGCCCCGGAACCTGGCCGACATGGACATGGACCGGTGGGAAGGGGCCCCCAAACCTGTTTGTTTTTTGTTTTCTCATGTTTTTGTTGGCGGCCGGGGGGGGAGGGGCTGGCGATCAGTATTCTATCCATACCGCCCCTACACTTCTTTTTTTTTGGTTGGGTGTTCCTTCAAATTCGACCAGCTGCAGCTCCATACCCTATCCCCCCACTGTTCCTCTTGCGTTGTCAAACTAGTGCACTCTAATGGTAGATTTTCCATTTGCAACAACCTAAGCCAAAACCAACCTAAGTCAACCTTAATCAACCTATAGCTGCACCAGCCTCACACCAATAACCCCTCTTTGCGCAGGAGCGCTACGGGCGACTGCGGCACATGGACCCCGAGTTCTCCACCAAGGAGGCGCCGCTCTGGGCGTGTCCTCGGATGGTGGGGGTCTGTGGTAGTGGTGGTGGTGGTGGTGATGGTGATGGTGGTGGTATCTTGGGGGTGGTCTTGGGATCCAAGCAGCCCCTCACCTACTTTTGGTTAGGGAAGGCACTCAGCGATTCAGCGATCTTGCGCTTCCGCGGTGTCATAGCATTTGACTCCTCCGCCATCCACGTCCTGGTCCCCGGCCTGAGCCTCGGTTTCCATTCCGGGTGAGGAGGCCAAGCAGTCCTCCCCTGCCTGAAAGAGGAGAACTCAATACAACAGGCATTGGAAACTAACAATCTTGGAATGCTTTTTATTAATTAAGGCATATTATCATTGAAGAAGTGCGGCGGAGTGCCTCCAAATGAGTTACGTGGTCTAGCGTGACATGACCCCTCCCCTTTCCGGACGGTTTTCAGGGGTCGAACACTGGGCAAACCATTTTATCATTGGGAGTCCACTGGTGACTTTGGATATTGCTTGGATTTGTCTTGCAAGGGGTCTCTGTTTTATTAAAGCCATAACCACAGAAACCAACGTACAAAACCCACCCCACCCAGCCGCCTGGGAGGTCCAACCGGACACGACACGAGGCCGTGGTGAACTCCAGCAGCTGGGGCTGGCGCTGGCACTACCGGGCGCTGACGGTGCAGAAGCTGCTGGTGGCCTACGTGGACTGCTTCCTGGGCGCCGAGGGCCTGGATGCGGCGGCGGTGGAGGCGGACAGCTACCTGAAGGCGGGGGCTGGGGGGGGGGGGAAGTTTGGGGGAAGTGGCGAGGGAGATCCGAGGGCTGGGAAGTCCGTTTTTTTTTTTTGGCTGAGCCACATGTAATTATGCAGTCAGCCATGTGGAAGGAAAGCTGGGTGGTGCGGCTCTGGGCCAGGGGAGTTTGGGCTCGGAGTTTTGGTCCGCGACCGGTTTTGCGGTTTTGCGGTTTTGCCAGGGTTCCTTTGGTGACATGTAGGGGCGGCAAGAAATTCATCTGTGGAATACGAGCAAGGCGGTCCTTTTGAATGGTTGGTATCATGTACGCCCCCTTCACAAAGCAGAGGTGGGTTTGCGGACCTGAACAAATACCGTGTTGGGCGTCCATTTCTGATGGCGGGTTATTATATTTTACTGGCTTTAGCAAAGAATCATCCCCCATCCTGGCCTTTTGCGCGCAGGCAACAAACAAGACAAGAACCCTCCTGATGTGGAATGAACTAGGGTGCTTGGCAAGAGCCGTCTTTCCGTGACATAAATAGGATGGTCCGTCCAGTTTGGTAGTTGCAAGAAGCCTGGACCCCTCAGATGTTGGCCTCACTAGCTGGTTCTTCCTTGCGTTGTAGGATCCATGGCAAGGCCTGTGGTGCGCCTTCCATGGATAGATCATTAATTCACTTCTCATACTGGTAGTAGTGGTCGTGCTGTAGCATGACTTCGGCGAGCAGTAAGAGGCACGACTTCTGTGCTTGTTATTGTGGCTGCTGTATGGTTGCAGCTGCTAGAGCTTCTTTTTGAAGGAATCCCTCTTTGTCTCTTCAGCGTGTTGTCTCATTGAGCGCCCGGTTTCTTCGTCCAATGTTCTCCTTGGTTTGGGCGTGTTGTCAGGGCGGTCATGCGGCGGCGGGACAGTGTCCGTAAATAGGGGAATCAACAAAATTGGCGAATTCCTTCTATTCTCCCTTTAAACCAACCCCAAGGGGTAACCTCAAACAAGACACACACACACACACACACACACACACACACACACACACACACACACACACACACACACACACACACACACACACACACACACACACACACACACACACACACACACACACACACACACACACACACACACACACACACACACACACACACACACACACACACACACACACACACACACACACACACACACACACACACACACACACACACACACACACACACACACACACACACACACACACACACACACACACGCACATGCCGTAGAAACAGAGGCAACCAACACACAATAGAGCAAACAATATCAACACAATACGTCAAAGACCAGACCGAACCGAGAACGAACCGAGACGAACCGAACCAAGCCGAACTGCCTTGAGCAAACGAAAAAACATGAGCAAGGGCTCAAGTTCAGTCAAGCTCAAAGGGGAAACATAGGGACTCCGCGTTTGGTTTCCTCGAGTATATAAGTACACACACAAACACATATATATATATTATACACCTTCTATGCGAGCACCCTTGGGTGGTTGGTTGCAAAGGGAAAGCTAAGGGAAAGTGGCGAGCTCAGGATTGGTGGCAGAGGATGATCTACCACCTGCCCTCGCTGCGGAGGGCTACGGAAGAGAACCCGGACTGGGCGGAGGTGGAGCTTGAAAGGGCCAGCCTCGTGCGGGCGGTGAGTACCATCATGCTGCTCGGCCCGGACGTGGCGAGGTGTGGGTCGCTTTCTTTCAGGGTGCCCCTTGAACCTTGGGTTTGCAGGGAAACTTTTTTTTTTGGGGGGGGGGATTTGGGCATCCCCCTTCCCCGGATGAACGCTGGACCTGCAGTGGAGTTTGTTGCCCGTGTTTCCCCAAACAAGTGCGGGATCACCTCATTGGGAAGGCCCCGTAATCCACCGGGGCTTTTCTAAACCTGGGTTCCCATTGGTGTCCTTCTTGGATCGGTTTCGTTGGACATAGGTGGGGTCCTCGTCACTTGCCAGTGCTATCTATGAACTGAACGCCTTAGGGGGCGGAACCCTACTCCAGCCCAGGCTTTGGGTCTCCTGGATCCACGAGGACGTGGGCCACTCTGCCGCGGCCTACGTCTGGAACCCGCTGTACACCCCGATGTGCGTGCCGGAGGATGGCGTGGGCGTGCCCTTGTTGAGCTGCTCAGCGAAAACGCCCCGAGCATCGAGCCCCCCACTGCGGCAGGGAGTCTGCGTGTTCTTTTTCTGGGCGCCCCTTTGTTCAGGCAACAGGGGAAGCTTTCCCGAAACCAGCGTCAATCCGAACCACCCATTAAGGGTAAGGCGAGTTTCTGACAAGCCCATGGAATTGGGGGAGGCCTTTCTTTTGCAAATAGTCGGCATTGTTCAGAGTTGCCTTGAACCAGGTTCACTTTTGTTTGGTCCAGGCCCTGCATCGACCGAAACTGCTAGGCGTCCCAAGGTACACCATGGGTACTTGAAGAACGTTTGCTATGGCTTCCCAACGCGGGCCTGGTACCTCAAGAAGCCCTGCTGCAAATCGTTCATTGGATTCTTATCTAACTTCCTCCGCTTTCATCTGCTTGTAAGCCCTGATGTGAGTGCCTCGCAAAGGCTGGGCCTTCAACGCCATGGCCTACCGCGGCTTCGTGTTTCTGCACCGGTCCACGCTCTTGGAAGAAGCCCCCAGCTTCTGGCCCCGTGGCCGAAAAACGACGTTTTCCTTTTCCATTTCTCCGAGCCTTACCGGGTGAGGCCAAAGCATCAGTTTCGCCTCAGTTTTTTTTTGTGAAAGGGGCCGTAGCTGCTGGTACACTTTGGCCAACTTTCAACGTGGAATGCCGGCCCAAGTGGCCTGTGGGCATACATTCCACGTGCAAATGAGGTCCACCCAATGGTCCATTATGGTCCATTTCCGCAAACAAGTCACGCCTTTTCGAAGTGTGATTCTGACCTTATGAAGAATTTGTTTTATTTGTTTTCACTGCTCCATCCCTTGCTTTCTCGTAACCTAGTCTTCATCTCATTCACCTTCATCGGAATTTGAGCAACATGAACGAAATGTAGGATGTGAGTCAGGATGAAGGGGAAGGGACGGCATCTTCTTTTGCTTATTGTCTTTGTCATTCGCTATCATTCTGTCAAGCAAGAGGTAACCCCCGGGGCCATGCTAAACATCCAGAATTCTTGCTTGGCGCGGATGAACACACATTCATCCCGCCCACAAACATGTAAGTGCATTTTCCTCCTTTGGAAGACTACGTGTCTTTGGGACGGTTCCTGTACCCTTGCATGTTTCTTAGTGGGGTGCCCAAATCTTGGGGTCCAAAGCGATGAGGTTCGACGGAAACGCCGACAGCCGGCAGTGCTTCGAAGACTTCCAGGAGGCGCTGCGGGGTCTTGGTGAGAGCGACGTGGCCTTCAGTGAGTGCGAGAAGGACTGGGGTTCGGAGCGAGTGCGACAGATCCGCTGGGAGTTTGCTTTGGAGGAAGTGCGGTCAAAGGGACCGACTTGAAAAAAACAACATTGGCCGGACAATGGGTTTGAAGTTTCCTTGGGCTTAAGCACAAGGGGCCCTTCCGTCCGATTCATTCGATCGTTTTTTGAGCCACCCTGAGGATGGATTCTACTCCTGCGTGGGGCGGGTGGAGACGGCGGTGTCTTCCTGAAGTTTTAAGGCATGGCGGCCAAGATGGCCCATGGCTTCTCAGGTCAGCATTTCGAAACAAGTTGGGTAGAGCCAGCAGTGAAATTGCCGGGTGCTGGGGAAAGTTCCTGCTGGCGGGGAGTAAACCCGCCCACAGCGAGCGGGAGGCGAAAAAAAATCACTGCCGGGGGGGGCGGGGGGGGGGGGGGGGACTAAAGCCTGTTGTGCATGGAGGGCTGAGCACTGGCCTTTGGAACATGCAGTAGTGAGGGGGGTTGCCTTCAAAGGATTCAGGTTAGGAATAAAGCCTAATTCTTGCAAGAGGCAACGCTGCAGTGACCACAGAAACATTTTTTTGTGATCTCTTGATTCAGAGGATCCAACCCCCACTCCGACCCTCCGTTGGTTTCTCCAAGTAGAAGAGGGTTTGCGGGGGGGGAGGGATGGGGTGATGGGTCCATTTTGTGATGTATTTGGTAAGCCCATCACCCACTGGCTAGCAATCTCTTCTGTTTGTGTTGAACAGCTCACCGGGTCGATTCCAAAGCCAGCGGTCTACCTTTGGTTTCGCCAAGTGAGTGGGTGCCTGCGTTTTGGGTTGCCGTTGGTTTCCTGGGCCATCCCAGCAATAGTGCTCCCGGTTCCGCCGCCTCCCAGGCATGGGAGCTCGATCCTCTGGCCCCCGTTTTCCCCCTTTTTTCTCGGAGAGGTATGTTGAGAGGCTTCTCTTTACAGTACGTTTGGCCAACGGGTGGTTTCCCCTTTTACCCACCCAGGTGATTTTGAGGATATCACTTCAATGGACCAAGTGCTGGGGCCAGCTGCTGGGGGGTTGTGCGGGAAGGCGTCCGGCAGCCATGTTTCAACCACCCACATGTTCACCCTTGTCGAGCCAACAAACTGAGGCGCCTTGAGCGACAATGTAGATACCCAGGATGGGCTGCCGCACAGAGACTTGCCTTGGGGCCACGCCCTCGCAGCAGAGCTCATAAGACATCAGTCCCCATAAGATGCAAGGCATGCTCAGATTGGGTGTTTTCCTCGAAAGCTTTTTGCTTGGGGGGGTCCTAATCCCAGCTGTTCAGTGACACTCCTATTCTTTGGCTGGCGCTGGATGGCTACTCAAAAGCAAAGAAAAGGCGCTGCTAAGCGGACCTCAAGGGGTTTAGGTGCCCTTTAGGCTGGTAACCCTTTCCTTGGCTCCAAACCCCGAGCCAGCAAACTTTCTTGCCATCAACAGATCAGCGGCCATGCCGCGCCATGCCGGGTTTGCCATGCCACGAAAAGCTGCCAGCCCGAGGTGCGGAGTCGCTTCCGACGGGGCGGAGTTGGGGTTAAGGGAGGTTCCCCCCAAAACGCGAAAGCCGCCCAAGCGCTGCTCTTGATGTGTGGGGGGTGGGGGGGGGGAGGTTGGGAGCGCGTGCCTGTCAGCCATCACCTGCTGGTTGTCTTTTGAGATGCACTTGCTCACTCTCAGGCCTTGTCAAGGCCGCCATGAAGGACCTCCGGACAGGTGGGCTCTGGCGAGGGCATGGCCACTTGACGATTTGAGCAGTAGGAAGGACCACGAATCCTGGAAAGTACCGCTTGGGAGGATTATTTCCTTTACCTAAACACAAGAGGCTGCAATATGATGCCACCAGGCCTGGTTGAAATCCAGTTCGGTTGGAAATTCAATTCGTGTCCAGATCGGCGGAGCCGGGACTGGCCGTCTGCGCCAGGCACCTAGGATTCTGTGGGGATGCTTGGGTTCCTTGGAAGCCATTGGCAACTTGGAGCCATGTGAGTCACAGGGCTTGCTCCCTGACTTCCATTTGGAACCCATGGCAGCCCCATTTCTCCGTGTTTTTCAACTTCTCCCCTGCCTGTTTGTTTCAACCCTCTGACCTTTTGGCTTGCCCCAGAAAACGGTGGGGTCAAAAAGCCAGGCCTCCAACCAAACTGGGCCACCCGACACTAGACCGGGCCACGCAGCGGTCTTTTGTCGGCTCAGGCTCAGGCGCCTCATCTGGCTGCAGAGGCGCCGGAAGGAAGCTTCCCCTCGCATCATGGAACCGCGTGTTGGTGGACGGAGCAGAGACTTGGAAAAAGCAACGCGTGCAAGTGGCCACGTTTTTTTGGCACAACAGGTTTTGATGATGCCCTTTCAGAACATAAAGTGCATTGATCGCAGTGCAAATGATGAGTAAAGGCTCAAAACCCCAGAATCAAACATACGGAGAAACTGCAAGACTGCAGGGCCAAAAGAACTCTCCTTCAAACAAGGAACCACTTGTGTTTTGAAACAAGAAATTAGAACCACAACAGCGTGAAAGAGGGTGTAGGCCGACTATTTTCCTGGCCATGTCACACAGTTGGCAAAAGCGGGTATGCCCGAGAGCTGTCAAACTACATGCTTCACTTTGCACTCTTGTTGCATGTATGTTCACTACCGCAGGCCTTGAGCTTACTACTCCGCATGAGTCAAAAGGTTGGCAGCTGCAGACTACATTGGTTGACTGTTTGTTTGAACACTACAGCACTTGCACTTGTAAGCAAAGTAACAACTGATTTTAACGTGGTAGCGGAGCTGAGATCCTAAACATAGGGGAGCTCCAGTAAGCAGTAAGTACTACAACCACAGCAACAGCAGCTACATGCCAAACTACTACGACATGTCAGGAGAAGCAGCATCAGCCTCAGCACAACAAACTACAGGAGCAGAGAACGGGCCAACAGCAGACACAGTAGGAGCCACGACTACGGGAGCAGGAACAGAACAAGACAACGACGTTCAGAGACTACATAGATACAAACTGCCACCACCCTTCTTCACTGGTGACTACTCCCAGTATGAAGAATGGCTGTTCAAGCTACAAGCATACCTCGGCCTCATAGACCGAGACTTCGACCTGGTGCTACAACTAGCACAAGTGGCTACACGACAGATTGAGGACACAGACATCAGAACACACATACTCGACCCTACACAAGCAAGCAAAGCAGTAGACCTCTCCAGAGATCTACACTACATCCTCATCAACATCTGTCAGGGAGCAGCAGCTACAGTAGTAAGGCAAAACCGCTACAACGCAAACGGATGTGAAACACTACGACTCTACACAACAGGTTCAGCCTACCAGTAGGAACAAGGAGCGTTGGTTACCTTACCAAACTACTGGAACCCACATTCAACGAAGCGCAGTTTGAAGAACAATTTCTACAATGGGAATACGACATCAACCGCTACGAGAAAGACAATGGAACAGCACTACCAGATGGAATCAAAATAGCAATGCTACTCAACAAAACCAAAGGAGCACTGCAGCAACACCTCCAACTGCGAGCTGGACAGATCACGAACTACATCGAGATCAGAGCACTCATCCTGGACTACTACAAAACGATTTCAGCCTTCACTAGATCTACTTCAGCAGTAGGAACAAACTACAATGGAGGAACTGCACCAATGGATGTTGACAACATATGGAGGAAAGGAAGAAGCTACAAAGGCAAAGGAAAAGGAAAAGGCGGCTACAAAGGAAGCAAGAGCAAAGGCAAGTACAGGAGTAAAGGACACTACAAAGGATTCGACAAAGGCAGCAAAGGAAACTACAAAGGAGGATACAACAAGAGCAAAGGAAAAGGCTACTCAGGATCCAAAGGATATGGATCAAGCAAAGGCTACAAAGGCCAAGGAAACTACAGCAAATCGAAAGGAAAAGGAAACAACAACTACACAACATGCCATCGATGTGGCAAGCCCGGCCACTGGGCACAAGACTGCAGAGTGCCGGTATGGCACATAGGAGAAGGAGAAGAACTACATCCACTAGAACAAGAACAAGCAGATCACGACAACAATGATGAACTACCTCAGGATGTGAACGACACTTGGGACTGGTACTACGAAGGAGAAGAAGGACAACATGAGGTGAACTACATGGAGGAGAACTGGAACGACTACGACTATGACAACAGCTGGGATTGGAATGACAACAGCTATGAGGACACAGCGAACTACATTGGAGGCATCAACGAGTCACACCTCACCATTGGACACATCAGACAAGCAAAATCACGACTACACAAGCACAAATCCAAATCACTACTTGGCAAGAGAACAACACACACAACATCATGGAACGACCACAGCAAGAGCTTTCAACAATTCCTACAAGAAGACACCACAAAGCTACACTTCGACATAGCAGCAGCAAGACAACAACAAAGGAACAAGAAGATTGAGGACACTATCACCCACTACATCATGTACTCCAACTTCAAGTCATACCACCACCTGTTGATCGACTCAGGAGCATCTACACATGTTTGCCCAAAGGACTACGCACCGGATCTTCCACTACGACCCTGTGGAGAATCAGTTCCACAACTCTACACGGTTACCAACAAGAAGATTCCAGTCTACGGCATCAAGTACGTTCCCTACAAGCAGGACAACTTCAGGATCATGATACCCTACTACGTTTGTGATGTGAAGTATCCAATCCTCAGCGCATCAAGACTACTTGATAGAGGATATGGACTTGACTTCACTCCACGACACTGCACCATCACACATGGACAACAACAAGCACACCTCATAAGACACTCAGGACTTTTCTACCTACGAGCAGAGAAGATCGACATCCCTACAGGATTCGACATCTACCCAATGACTACAGACAATGGAAAATCCATTGCTGTGATTCAACCTACAGAGAGAGCAGCACAACAACAAGAACAAATCGCACCACTCACACACACACAGACCAAGGACTACGACAGATCCTTGGTGGAAACACTGACTACTGGAAACTTGATGGTGACTACGCCATCAGAGTACACAAACGACCACGCAAAGCACTGTTCACACCACACAACAGTGGCTGCCCAATACCAGAAGGAGAACTAGATGATTGGAGACTAACCATCATCAACAGACAAGGGCAAGAGCAAGAACAACTACAAGAGAACCCAACACAACTTTCCAAGCAAGAACTACAACGAAGACTAGAAGGTGACAACTGGACTGGAGAAACCAGATTCAGAAGAAAGATAACACCTACACGCAGAGCAACATCAAAGACCACACCAACAAGGCAGAGCTCACAACCACAACGGCTAATGGACACACCACCAACCAGATCAAAGATCCAACTACGAGCACCACAAAAGATATGGAGACCCAAAGCAGCACCTTCTACAAATCTTGACACCACACAACCAAAGGAGACAATACACAGACCACTCACAGCACAGGAGGACAACCAAGACTACTGGGAAAGACAAGGTGAACATTGGATACGACACCACACAACGCTTAGAACAACTCTCTTCACTCCAACAGATGGACCAGGACATCCACCAATCAACACACTTGAACCTCACAGAACTACAATCACTCACAACAACTTTGGAGAAGTTTCACAACGCAAAGATGACTGGACAGTCATGGGCAACGCAGCACTACCATTTCAATGGAAAGGAACAACAAGGTTCACCGTGAAGAAAGACTACGAGTACATCCAGGAGAACCACGATGAAGAACAACAACACGAGCATCATGAAGCACACAGAGCAAGAGGACTACGACAACCACAGCAGCCCACTCCACAACAAATAGCAGAACACAACCTTACACATCTACCATACAGAAACTGGTGTCCAATTTGCGTTCAAGGCAAAGGACGCCAAGACAACTACAAGAAACAACAATCACGACAACCTGTCATTCAAGTAGACTTTGCCTACATCAAGTCACAACAAGACCCAAAGACCACACCGGTACTGACAGCAGTTGATGTTACTACACAACTGTGTATGGCAGTATTGGTTCCAGAATCATCAATGATGGACTACATGGTCAACAACCTACAAGCATTCATCTTTGAGTGCGGAAGAACACAAGGCATACTACAAAGCGACAACGAAGACACACTCAACGCACTTCTAAAAGCTACAGCAGCAAAAGTCGGCACAATGAGTGTACGACATTCACCTTCCTACAGCAGCAACAGTCAAGGAAGCGTTGAGCGACTACATAGAACACTTCTCGGACAAATCCGCGTCGTCAAAGCTCAGGTTGAAAGCAACTACAGCATGACGATGTCCACAAAGCACTGTCTACTACCTTGGATAGTACGACATGCAGCATGGACGGTAAATCGCTACGTCATTCACTCAGACGGACTACACCGCTTTCTACGGGACTACGACCAACACATGTCGTGTCCCGAGATTGATGATGAGCGACTACGGGGAGCTCCAAACTACATGACAGCCTTTTTCACAACCAACTACTACGCGACCTTGGACAGTCGACTACAGATGGTCCAAGCCTACCGACTACATTTTTGAGCTCCTGCTCTACTACAACGAGTGCCTGCCTTCACTACTTCCGTCCAGCGCCCTACATCGAGCTGGAACCCGCAGGTCACTACTTTTGCAAATACAGCAGAATTGATGAACAACAATGGTTTTCATCACTACTGTCAATCCATGTTTTGCACTTCAGTTGAAAAGGTACTACAAAGACCTTTTAACTGAGGGGCCGTGTCAAACTACATGCTTCACTTTGCACTCTTGTTGCATGTATGTTCCCTACCGCAGGCCTTGAGCTTACTACTCCGCATGAGTCAAAAGGTTGGCAGCTGCAGACTACATTGGTTGACTGTTTGTTTGAACACTACAGCACTTGCGCTTGTAAGCAAAGTAACAACTGATTTTAACGAGAGCGAGAGAGAGAGAGAGAGAGAGAGAGAGAGAGAGAGAGAGAGAGAGAGAGAAGAGAGAGAGAGAAGAGAGACAAAAAAAGGGTAATAGCGTAGGGATCCATCGTGCAGGCAGCAGGTTGAGTCTGATGTCCTACTTTGCAGCGCTGCCGTCAGTGCTGCGACCTTACGGGAGTCGTCAGCAGAATTGAGAGCTAAATCCGCGATTCCATTTCTGGTTGGGCAAAAGTTGAGGTAGCTGGGGACGTACAGGACCCAAGTGTATTACACCTCTGGGGCGGCCTACGGTGTGTATCCTGGCAAACTGTGCTAGCTTGTGCTTGTCAAATTTGATTCCCTGCTGTACGTGACTGCCGTTGATATTTTTGTGCGGGCGGATCAAAAACACATCTCTAAAGCAGCCGTGGTTGCGTAGGTTTCCATATGTTTTTTGTTGAAGGTCATGGCAGCCTGTCGAAGATAGAACGCTTCTAGCATACCCATGGGGCTCGAGTTGGTTGCTGGCTCTGGGCTCTGAGAGCCTTGTTCTTTGTTTTGAGTCCGCGAGGGAAATGTCACTTTGTGGGTAACATCCTGAAAATGGATTCTGGGCCTGAATCAACATGCGGGCATGTGTCAAAAGAAGGAGACCTCTGAAAATATGGGTTTCCTTTTGGTTTCCCTTCTAAGCCAACCAGAAAAGCCCTTCTTTCGGTCCATATCCGCAGAAGGTCCACTGAGCGACTTGAGGTGTTCGCTGAGACCAGCCGTTGGTCCTTGGCCGAGTGGCTCTTCTGCGAGGCCCGCACTGGCGGGTCCATGTCTCCAAGGAAGCCGCGAACTTGAATCGGAGCCATGTTTCTTTTTACTACTTGCCATCTTCTGAGATTTTACAGACTTTGTTGGTTTCTGCCTAGGCTTGCTCGGCTCTTCTGCCTTCTGGGTTTCTTGGCTCCGGCTTGTTGGCTTCTCGGCTCGCCCTTCATGGGCTAATGAACTCGTGGCCTCCCCATTCTTTTCAGGGATCATCGCACACCTGCTTTGCACAATTTGACAGTTGAACAGAATCAATCACATAATGAATCTGGGGCTGCTGCGTTTTGTGCCGCCCAAACCAAAACGTCACAAAGAGCCCAGCCAGGCGCGGCAGCAGGGCTTGCGGCCCGACGCGGTGCTGCGTAGGGGGCCCATTCTGCCCCGGGCTAACGCGAGCCCGTGCTGTAGGTCCTTTGCTTAAGGATGCCGGATATCAGATGTTGGACGAATCTTAGGCTTCGCCGAAATGTGGGCTTGTGCATTTTTGGTGTTTTTTGGTGTTGCTGCTGTGCGCTTGTCCAGGTTTGAGGTGCGTCAACTGTGTGGACAATGTGAACCCCTTGCTTACTGGCGAGTGAACCATTGATGGCTTGATTCTGGGACACCACCGAGCGGCGTTGTGGGAACATCTACGCTGAGTCGACAAACACCTTTTAATGCGGCAAGGGGTTGGAAGTAGGTTGATTGGTTCCCGAATTTGCGATGTCATTGGGAAGGCTGTTATCCCATATTGTTGGCAGTCACCTTTGCAAAAAGTGCCATATCCGGGAGGGGGTTGCCCAACAGCCCATGTATGATGTGCCCAAAAGGAAGCCACACGGGGATCCACCAGTTGGCAATGTCTGACCCTCTATTACCAGGACACATTCATTAGCCAACTGAGAAGGGCTTTTCGCCTTCGGGCGGCTCAATGTCAGATCCAAGAATCCAGAGCTGACTATTTACTCATTCGGCGACTGCCTCGGGGCATTTGTGCGTTAGGGCTGGTTAAATGTCGTAGGAACACGCTGCTAGGGGCCATTGGCAAGCAAGTCGAGGAAGACTTGGCTTACGTGTCAGTCGCACCAGGCACCGACCAGGTGCCCAATGTTTGGACCGGTTTCAGGGAAGTAGAGCAGCCGGGAGCTTTGATGCTGGGCACAACTGTTTGGGCAACTCGGCCCTGGACAGAGCTATGCAGAGAGCAGGGGGCGTCCTTTGGCTCTCAGTTTCAGAGCCCTTGGCCTCGGGTTGTCCAATGGCGCAAGGTGGATTGGTGCCTTGGTTTTCTATCTTCCTTTTTGGGTCAGCATGGTTGAACACAGATGGCACTGGTTTAGTTGGTTTTTACTCATGTACCAGGGCCATGTATCTTGCCGTAAGGGACTCCGGTCCTCTCATGGCCCCTGTTTGGGCCTCTGGTCCACCATCCTTTGCTCTTGCCATGGGATGCTGCGGGGGCTCCTGGTCTTGTGGCTGTGGTCCGCTAGAAGCCGCGTGCTCTATGAGGCAGGGAGAAATGGATGCCGTTGAAGGCAAAATCAGTGGTTTGCCGTTTTAGACCCGTGGCAAAGGTACTTTCAGAAAAGACCCACCGCAATGGGAAGAGAGAAAGCTGCTCAACCAAACCCGCTACTGCAAACTGCACCCCCAGGGACGCCCTGTGAATCAATCAGCAGTTGCTAATGTTGGGCACGAAGAGGTGGAGGCTGTCATTCAGCACCCCGTGATGCCCCAACATCTTACTTGAAGGGCCGACACTCTAAGACGCAACGTGCTGCAACAAACTCAGTTGGTCCAAGGCGATCTGAGCTTGAGACGTGTGCTTTCCAACCCAGCCAATGGTGCTTTGGTGCCTCAATCAAGACCCTTGGTCTCTGGCTTGTTTCTTGTTTGGAGCCTGGTTTTTGAGCCCCCGCCCCTCCGGCCCCTCCCCCAAAGCCAAAGAAAACCACGGCTTGTTGGGTCCCGGCTCAGTTGACGGGCGCCGGCTTCGCCTGGCCCGTGGGCTCCTTCCTGCGCCTCGGCCTCGATGGCTCGAGCGGCGCCGCCTACGCCCGCGCCGCGGTGCACGCGGGGCGCGTCATCCAGGGCCTGGAGGTCGTGGTGCCCAGCGCGCCCTGCGCGGCTCGGATTTTTGGGCAGTTGGGCGTGGATGACGTGGATGGGCGAGGGGAAGGAGCAGCCCCGTGTGCTTTTTGGCTTTCATATTGTTTGAAATGTGTTTGATTGAAGTTGACCTAGTTGGCGAAGGGGGGGGGGGTAGGTGCATGGTTTGGCTTCCTGCCCGGAGGTGGAGCTCAACTCCTCCGCGTCGGGGGAGTTTGGCGAAAAGGCGCTGGACTTCTACGAGGAGCCGCACTTGGAGGCGGGGGCCTCCGGGGAAGCCTGGGGAGGAGTCTCGGGGAGGGGGGGGGGAGGGGGGCAACGGGGGCTTGAAAATCATGTTCATAGGAAGGTTTGCTCTTTTTTTGGGGATGCGCTGGCTGCTCTGCAGCTATCTATGGGGCGCACCTAGATGTTGAATCAGTTTGGGAAGGTAGCTTGGATGTAATTAAGTGCTGGACTTCGTCGGAGGAAGACTTTGCTCTTTTTTCATGGTTTCCCCCGGTTGGGTTTGGATATACTTTCTTCCAGACACCCCTGCAGTCGAGGGCCACCGGATTCGTAGAGGCAATCCAGGATTCTCCGTTGATCGTGGAGGGGGGCGTGTCCCTTTGAAGATCCGCATCACTGGGGGAAACACCACCCATCTAGTCAACTTGGGGGAACACTCCTGAAAACTTGCTGGTTGATTCATCCGGGGTCCACCAAGGTGGTGCTGCATGTCGCCGCTGTGAATGCCAGCATCTTCCTGGGGCCTTCCCTGCAGGACGGCTTCCTGTCTGGCAAGTGGCACCGTCTCTTGTTGCTTTTCTTCCGTGCTTCGCTCTCCCAGAGACTGGGGCTGCATACTTTGGGAAGTCAGATTGAGCGGTTTGCACAACTTTGTTTGTATTTGCGAGTCAGAGCCACTACAGGAGTAAGTTGCCACTTGGCCCCCCCCCGCTGCAAAACCCCCAAAACAACAACTCAAAGCGTCACTGCTTTGCAACTGGCAGGGCGACAAACCAACGGACCAACTGGTTCCACCTTTAGTTGCGACTGAGGTTATGAGATCAACCTGGAGGGCCTCTCATACATTCGGCGCGTGCGTTTCGACACATCTCTGGGCGGTTCCTCGCAGCAGACCATCTTGGACCCAGGTGCCCATGGCCCACGACTCGACCTTTGCTTCGTGTTTTTTTTTTTTTTCTGGGTAGGGGCCCGAAGCACAGTTATAACAGACCGTTGGGTTGGCAAGTCAATGTTGCAACATGCTGTTTTTTGTTCGGGAATGTGGCTGCACGTGGATTTTCCTCTAGGAGGGGCCCTCTTTCAAGTTCCAGGTTTGTCTTTTTTACAAGGGTTGTTGTCTTCAGGGCCCCTTCTCCTTAGTGGACGGGGCGAAACACGGGGGGGGGGTTGTGTCAAAAGGCGCTCCGCGGCCGATTCGGAGGTACTGGCCTGGACTTGTGGCTGTCCTGGCAGTTCTTGGCCGGCGAGGCGGTGCTGCGCGTCTACGATGCGCTGCCGGAGGAGTTGATCAAAACGTGCCAGAAACAGGGGGGTCGCTTGTATGGCTCTAGTTTTGGGGAACAGCCTTCCAAATGTTTGGTGGACATAGGGCCCAACCTACGTGATATCCACCAGAGGGCCACCCGTATGGGCTTGTCTCAAAATAGGAGACCCCAACGCATGGCTGGTTTCCTCCCAACAAAAAGCGATCAAAAGGGCATTCAAAGGAGCCTTTGTGCTTGGCAGACGCTCTAGTGTTGTGGGGCCACTTCGAGCTTGAGCTGGCTTTGGTTCCCAGACGCTTCGATTTGTCCGCCGGAACTGTTTTGCCACTTTTCCGGCGTGCCGCACGCCTGTTTGGGTTTTCTGGGGTAGGGGGATATGCTCATGTACGTGCACACACACATACATATATATATATATATATATATTCTATGTATTTGCCGTGTGGATTTGGCTTGTGGGCCTGAGAAAAGAAACAAAGAGCTTTCGCTGGAGCTGCAGGTCTAGGCACAACCATGGTGAGGCATATTAGGCACCCTCAGCCCAAGAAAGTTCTCAGCCTTCTAAGACCTTTCTACGAAGGTTCTCAGCAGCCTTGCAAAAGATTGGCGGGGCAAAAGGTGTAGGTTTTTCCCAAGCAACTGGAAAGTCAAGGCTGGCAACGCTCAACCAGAAAGTCCCAACAAACCTGCGGCAATTCCCACGAGTCATGCAAAAGGGTCTTCTGAAGGTTCAGTCGATTGGCGCACGCGCAGCTTTTGAACTGGTTTCCAGTTTTTCTTTAAAGCTTGTTTTCATTTGGTTTAAATGGTGCTTGTTAGTTGATTTCATCGTTTGAATTTTGGTTCAGTTTGCTTCCCCTTGCTTTCATCTTCTTCCTCTTTTGTTCCTTTCAACTTCTTTCGTCCCTACGGCCTGTGTCTACGCTCACCTCTCTGCAGGAGGGGCGGCAGCTGCTGTCCTACTTCGACGCAGCGCCGCCCGCCGGGTACCTGCAGCCCGGCCATTCACGTCTCTTGTACTTCGCCTGGGTCTCCCATACAAGGGCGCCACCCCAAGAGTGGTTGGTGGACGTGTGGTTCCCCACCTGAAAGAAGTCCACCAATGGGGCGCCAAAGATTTACATGCCCAACAGTTGTTTCGGATTGAGGTCCAACAAAGATGGAGATCGAACAGAACTTCTGGTTTGTGCGGGGGCGGGGCGAAAGTTCGCCTGGCGGTGTAATCCCCTGTCCACTTCATCATTGCATTTGGTATCTTGAAAAAATGCATTGAGTGGAGCAGGGAAATGACGGGCAACAGAGATTCTCCGGTCAGACGGTGACGAGGAAAGAGAGGAGACAGGAATGATCGCCCCTCTCCATTTTCCTTCTTTCTCATTCATCACTTCACCAACATTATGTTGCTTTCAATGGCTGGTGAGTGATAGGATGGTGAAGGAAGAGGAACGGGAAGATGAAAGCCAAGCAAATGAGAGACAGTAAAGAAGGTGCTTGGCTTCTCACTCATGGGGTAGTTTGCTACTTTCCTTTCAATGTGTTGGGGCTTGCTACTTGTTAGTTGCCCCTGGCTTTCATGGCTTTTGTGTTTTTCCTCCTTTTCGAGTCCGTTCGATTTGGGTGGGGGCTGTAGCACCCAAACAGTCTTTATGCTGACATGCCAGGGGTTGGGCTTTGCTTCACAGCAGCCATTGCGTAAGAAAACAAACGGACTTTTTCCAGGGGTCCCTTTTCCCTTAGCCAGTTTAAACCTCACTTTTTGGACCAATTGTAGGGCTGTTTCCTTGCAGGGGGCGATGTTCACGGGGTAAGAAAAGGAAGGGCCGTGAACCGCCGCATTGCTGGCTCGTGAGGCAGAGGATGCACCGCGGCGGAGAAATGCGGGGTTCGAGGGTTGGGTTCAGCGGTTCCTAGGCCCATTGCCAAAAATGAAGGGCAACTCATTCGGCAGCCCCTTGCTTTTACCGTAGGTGTTCAATTTTGCCCGCTGAATTACACTATTCGAAGGGGCATGGTTCCAGTGTGTTCCAATCATGGATGTTGCCATGGATGCAAGTCCATGAGTACATCTACATCTTGGCTTTTCGGGCGGACAGATGCAGGCTTTTCGGGCTTAGACTCGGTTGCCTTCGAGCAGGCTTCTTTCAAGCTCCAGGCGACGTCCGAGCAAACCCGGGGTTGGAGGTCAGTCCTTCCTTGCGATGCAGTCTTAGGCTCTGTGCTTGAAAATCCTGTGGTGGCGACTCGTGACATCTCCCGACTGAGTCCCAACTCGCCGACTCGGACGGGCCGTTGCCAAGGCGGCTGTGGGTGGGGGGCGAGGGCTCCTGGCAGCTTTGCCCCACGGGGGCGTCCAGGCCGCAGCTGGCCAGGCCGGGTCCGCTGGGTCCGATGGCACGCGTGGATTTTGTTGGCCATCGCCATGCGAGTGACAATCAAAACATGAGGAAGTGAAGGTTGAGGAGCCAGCTAGAAATAGGGCTCAGTTGCCCAAAGCCGACCTTTTAACCCTTTGGTTTTCCGATCTTGATCTATTTTTAGTCATGGCCCCACAAGGTGAACCTTTTACTTCTGTGTCCTTTGGGCAACTCAGAGGGTACAAGCGGCACGTGTTTCTTCCTGAAGAATTTGATCGGTCATTATGGGGTTTTACATCCGTTGCATCCGCAGTGTGGCTGTTCAAGCGTGAAAATGTGCGAGCAGCGCACTTGGACGGTTTGTTGTGGAGGGCCATTTTTTTTAGGATTTTTTTCGTTTTTTTTTAGGAATTATTTTTGTTTTTCAGGGTCGGCAGCTTTTCGGCTTTTTGGCTTTTGTGGCTTTTACGTGGGTTTTTGTGGCTTTCGTGGAGCCCTGGGCCCGAGACCTTCCAGTGGTAGGGTTGAGTCGGCAGACTTCGGGCGATGGCGCATCAGATGGTACACTGGCTGGGTGATGCACACCCGGGGGAGCGCCTCAGCGCGGTGCTTCACATGGTGGATGGCCTGCATGGCCGGGTTCATCACACAGGCACGGAGGTGGAAGTGCCAGCTGGACTCTTCGAAGAGTCGGAGACGGTGGTGGTGCATTGTGCTGAGGTGGTCAATGCAGATGGAGGACTGAAGCTCATTTTTGGGCAGCAGACTTGGGTCACGGTGCACCCCATGCTTGCGGAGGACTCCTTTGTCACACTCAAAGAGATTTGTGCGGGAATGGGAGGCATTGGATTGGGTGGCTCCATCATGAATATGCAGATCGTGGCACAGCTAGACCACAATGGGCTATGCTGCAGCGTGCTGAGGCAAAATGGCTCGCCATGCGTTCTCCAAGCAGACATTGGATCAGATGACAGCATCAAGCTGCTACATCAAGTTCAACCCCACCGACGACATGTGCTCACGGCGGGCTTTCCTTGTCAGCCGTTTAGCTCCCAGGGTATGCAGCTGGCAATGTTGGATAGGCGCAGTTCGGTGTTTTTTCGCATTCTCAAGGCTGCATACTTGATGGCACTGCACTCCTGCTGGAATGTGTCCCCGGAGTAGCAAATCATGCTGCGATTCGACGAGGTCTGGATGATTTGGCTCAACTTCTGGACTATCATTTTGTCACGGTCATCATGGACCTCAATCAGATTTGGCCGTGCACTCGCAAACGGTGGTGGGCTCTCATGGTGCCGAAGCAGTACGATGTCCAGATGGTTCAGGCATGGCATTTTGACGAGCAGTACAGACGAGTGGATAGCCTCATTCCCAGATGGCCACTCTGGCCAGCTGATCATGAGGCACAACTCCGGCTCAGTGAGCATGAGTTGGAGCTGTACCACAATCCGCGCTACGGTCAGGAAGAGAGGCTCCTCTCTCAGTCCAGACCGGCACCTACGTTTTTGCACAGCTACGGCAACGGTCATGACAAATGCCCTTGCGGGTGTCGTGCACGGGGTTTCAGCAAAAGCAGCTTGGAGCAAAAAGGCTTTCGCGGGGTTTACGTTCGCTCTGAACTCGATGATCAGCCTCGGCTACTACATCCCCGTGAACTTGGCCTATTGAGGATACCTATCACTATCCCATGGACTTGCGAGAAGGGCTGTGCTTGCTGGGACAATCTGCATCCCCACTTCAGGCAGCCTGGATGTTTGGTCAGCTTCAGGCACTCACTGGGTTGCAAAAGGGGCAGCGTGCGAGCTCGTTGCCTCAGCATGTGCTGCAGAGGTATCGGGCATGTCTCAAGCAACAGAGCCGCCTTGCCTGGCCACTTGCAGCAGATTGGGACTCAGCCCTAGTTTGCATCAAAGAAGAGGGAGTGCCAGACATTTTCCTTGTGAGGGAGGGCCAACAAGACGTTGCTAGCTTCATCCGTGCTGAACGCAAACTTCAGGAGGGTGGTGCTGGTATCACGGTGAATGACGGCTACCACATTGTCTCGCCAGCACACATCCTTAAGCCGATGGGCAGCTATGGGCCGCTTCGGATTCAGCGAACCAGGAAGACGGCAGAAACCAACCTTACCTCAAGCTCTATTACCATCACAATGGTTGGAATTGCGGGCAGACAACATGCTGTGCTACCTTCGGGATCCTTCCTGTTTGAAGCACTCTGGCAGCTTGAACTTCACACTCATGGAAGCTACAGGCTCTACTCCGAACACGGCATCCTCGCTGACCTTGATGAACGCCAATGGCGTTCTGCCACCTTTTGCATGCCACCAGGATGTGGACCAAACCGGCCCTCAGAAGGGGTCACGCTTGAGCAGATGCACCAGTTCCTTGAGCATATGAACAACCACCTGGGCTATCACACTGGCCCGGTTGAATGGATCCTCACCTACCACCTGGAGGATCTGCTTCAAGGTTTGGGTAAATTCAGCCAGCATCTCCAACAGCAGGAGAGGGCGTACGCAATTTGCTGGCATGCAGGGCATTGGTTCCTCCTGGAAGGAGGGCTTTCAGATGACCGCTTGCACCTCATCATTTGGGATGGTGCGTCTATCGTGAACGCCCAGTTCTCTCAAGGCATTGGGGCTGCATTGGCCGATCAACTTGAGGTGCAGACGGTGGTCATTCAGCAGACATACCTGCGACAGCAGACCTTCACGTTCTCATGCGGGGCTACCACGTTGCTCCATTTGGCCCGTCGCCTTGGTTTGATCCGGGCCTACACAGCTCAAGATGAGATCCTGCTACATCGACTCCTCCATCAATTACCAGCACGTGGGAACCTACGAGGAGCAGGATGGGAAGGGCAAGATCAAGAGGATGGGTTGATGCATGCGCTTCAGGCCTTGCTGAGTGAAAAAGGGGTACCTCAGGATCGGGTGCAGGAAAGAGCGCATATGGCGCTCAAAAAGCTGGGAAAGAGCGACGTGCAATCCGCTCTCAACACCAAGCAGCCCTGGGCAACGCTCAAAGCCATGGGCAAACGTCAGCACACCAGCTTCCAGTTCGTCAAGCATGATGAACTTCAGATTAAAATACGCGAGAAGGAGCAGAGCACTTTCGGAATCTCCAAATCGGGCAAGACCCACAAGACCAAGGAGCGCAAGATCGCGCCCACTGCTCTCAAGGCGCACCAACTGAATCCGGACCTTCTGGAGATCATACCGGACACCTTTGTGGGACAAGACGGATCTGCAGTGGTCCACCTTGATGGAGATCAGCTGCGGCATGGTGCAAGTGGTCTGGCAATCAGCACAGTGCAGGATCTACTACCGCATCTGAGAGAGGGCAAAACCTTGTCGGAAAAGCCGCTGGCGGTCCTTACGGTTGGTGAAGTACCAGATGATGTTAAGGGCTTCCTGGCGGTGACCAACATTCGATATCCCGTCTTCCACGCTGAGGCCAAGGAGGCGATACTGGTCACTGGATCATTGGTTCAACTGGGAGAGCTGGCAATCCTTCGCAAGGAGGCCAGCAAGGAAGCTCAGGTTCACACCATCCCCACGCAAGTGATCAAAGTTGTGGTCTACAAAGATCAATGGCCTTCGGATTGGGCAACCTTCGTGGTGGCACCGGTGAAAAGTGTGATTGACACGGCCCCCACCTTCATGCTCTGCAATGCCAGCTCCTGTGGGCCGAACTGTGGACGATTTCATGCACCATGCGATGATGAGGACATTGAGACTGTCATCATGGACGTTTGGAGTCGGGGGTGGCACACTGTCAAGGGGCAGAAGTCAGGGCCCTTGGAGGCGGATATTTTCAGCTGTTTGATGTGCATACCGGACTTGGCCAGCACTACACTTCAGCAGTTGTCCGGACAGCGCGGCATCTATGTGGAGCCGCGAGATTCAACCGGCAGATCCACTGACACTCAGTATGGAGTGATCTGGCTACAGGGCATGAGCTTCAGGGAGGCCACGTGCAAGCAGGCTGCCACGCCGAAGGTAGTTGCTCTGGTTCGGAAGAATGAGCGCTATGGCTTGCGCTTCACCATGGATCAGATGGAGAAAGCGCACAAGGAGATCAGGCCGGACGCTCCCTTTGAGTTTCTGCGTTTTGACAAAGTCTATCACATCAGTCCGCTTCCTCATGGAACACAGAGACCGGCAGTTCAGAAGCTGCTGAAAGTTTGGAAGTGGGCAGCCAAGCCACTACAACCCAAGCATGCAGGACCTCATGGGATCACCTGGGAGGTTGGATCGTCAGATGAACCACCGTCACAGGTCCTTCAGCACAGTGGTGGTGACGTCGTGATCACCCAGGTCACGAAGGAAATGGTGCATCGACCAGCAGAAGTTCATGCTACAGCCAAAGCGAGTCGACACATTCAGAAGGCGGCTTCTTCTACCAAGAATTGTGATGCCACAGATGGAGGAGATCCCTGGCAACAAGGGCGCGATCCATGGGCCACGTGGTTTCAGGCTCCGTCAAAGACCTCAGCCTCATCCTCAACTACCACTAAAGCTGCAGTTGATCGCGTTCAGCAAGTCGAACAGCGCATACGGGCAGACGTTAAAGCTGTCGTGCGCAAGGAGCTCGAGGAGCAGGCGAGCGGTCAGGACGTTGCTATGTACATGGACAATCATGGCGCTGAGCACCGCTTCAGTCGGATTGAGGCAGACCTTGGAGAGCTGCGACATCAGAATGCCAAGTTTGAGCAATGGTTTGCAGAAGCTGCCAACCATAACACGGCCACCAGGCTACAGTCAGTGGCTGAGCAAGTAGGGTTACAGCAGCAAGAGATCACGGCCTTGAATTCCTCCTTCAATGGTTTGCGGTCGCAGATGCAGGAGGACATGCAGACAGGATTTGGACGCCTGGAAGCCCTTCTGTCCAAGAAGTCAAGAACGGAGTGACTCCGTGGGTGGTGGCTCAGCGTGCCAATGGAGCTGAGCTATGACACCCGTGGCATTTTCAAGCCATGGTCCCCGGGGGCCATCAGCTTTGGAAGCAAACAGC